CATAGTCAAGTACACGCCCACTAATATCACATAACAGCTTTTAATAAATGGGAACGATTGCAGTGGCACAAAAGAGGCTTCAAGGTTATTCCAAAAAATAGTGTAGTATTTCCCCTCAAGTTAAATTGCTGTGGGGTGGGGGGTGGTAGGGGGAATCACAAATGCAGTCTTTATATCAATTGTTTCTGCTAAACATGAGATTTAATGGAGAGTAATTGGACACTTTTGCTCATTTATCTTAGATATTAATCTCATGTTTCTTGACAGCAAATTCTCAAACTGTGCTTAGATTTGCTCAATAACAAATTGTCTGAACTCTATTATTCCTAATCTGTACACTTTTTTTGTATGACAACATTGTCTCCAGGAGAAACTTACAGTATAAGCAATACAAATGTTCCTAAAAATGTGCATTTTTTTGTCACTAAATGTACACTTAAATAGTCTTCCTATTGTTATATTCACTAAACAACTCTTAAGCTGGTGGTGCAGAATCTATATACAGAGCATTTTTGTGATATCTTCTGCCTCCGACTTGTCTTGTCACATCCAAATATGATGAACTTTTCACCTTATGGACTGTCAAAGTCAGAAAAGTTGTCAGAAAAAGTGTTCCACGTGAATTATTCATCGCCATGAATGGATCTCATTCGAAGTTGAGGAGCGCAAATGCATTTATGGGGATTTTACTGTCATTTTCCTTCATGCAACAAAAATGGTGGCAGTGTTCTTAGTCTCACTTCATCTTTGATGTTCCATATGCATATTGACAATGAAGGGTTGTATATGATTATTATTCAGCTGGGTCTGTAAAGAAGTCTATACAGATGGCGCATGCTATAAAATATGTCCGTTACGCTCCTCATCAAGGCGATGTTTATGGCAGGCGGCTTGCAAAGCAGAAGGTCAGGCATAATGAAAGTATTAAGCTTATGCATTCAAACATGAGCAAACTTTCAACTCTGAACAAAGAGAAGTAGTATTTCATCTGTAAACTCGCTAGGCATTAAAGGGATACTTCCTTATGTTGTTTGAAGGATTCTCTTTCCTCTGTGGAACACAAAAGGAGACTGAACAATGTTCTAGTGGCTCTTTTCCCTGAAGTTATATTCTTCCCCTCCAGTGATCTGATAACAGCTGCAACCTGATCCTTTGGGTCTCAGTGGAGGCTGAATTAGTTGAATTCAACATTCAGATCACACTGTTTCATGAACAAAACATTCAGACTTGTTTTGTGAAGAAAATAATATGTAGAACCCTACTTCTATCATGAATTCTTCTGAACAAGACTGCACCAAGGAGAATTAGGCTGCTTTCCAAGGCTTTTTGTTCAAAAATGTTCTTTTTTCCATGAAACTTAATAATTAAGGGGTCATGAACTGACTTTTGAAATTTTATTATATTGTTGTCTGAGGTCAACTTATGACGTTCGCTTGGTTTTTGCATTCAAAAACATCAAAATGAATAAGTAATAGGCTATTGTACCTAGTGTTGTCACGGTACCAAAATTTCATTATTCGGTACCAATACCAGTAAAAATTCACGGTTCTCGGTACCAATTTCGGTACCAAAGCTTAGTTTAAATTTACATATGAAGAGCTCTTTTCCAAAACGCTATAAATCCATTTCAATAGTTTTCAGGAAAACTACATTTTTTACCTAGACCCACACATTTTGTGAATATTCAAATTATCCTGTTTAAATGTTTTATTGGTTCAGTCTGAACATTTTGAACAATAATTATTAAATCAAACAACAATATTGTTAATGATAATTTAAAAGTTAATTTTATTTTTTTCCAAAACGCTATAAATCGAAATAAACCTCAAACAAATATACCAATTTCAACATATGCATGAAAAAAACAAATTATTAATACCAATTTCAACATATGCATGAAAAAAACGAATTATTAAAAATGATCAATATATGATAACGATATTCAAAAAAGGGATGGGCACCCCTCCAGCACATGCACACACACACACACAGGCTACATAACATGTGAGCAAAGCGGAGCAGCATGACGCTTAAATATAAGTTAAAAACAAAAAAAAAAAAAAATAAACATTTCACATTTGTTTTTAATAATATTACATTACTTATTTTTATTATTTCATCTATGTTGAGTAGGCTATGAAAAGGGAACCGCATGAGATGAGTAAGATAGGATCAAAATTCAAAAGCTGCCCAATATCGGAAAATATTTGGAGTGCGTCAGACATGATTTTGACCACTTATTAAGTTTTGTTTTGTAGAAAGCTTGTAAATTTCGTTTCATATAAATTGTATCTTCATTTTAATAAATGTTTCATCGACAAATTGACTGGATTAATACATTAGAAGTAAATATCAGACAATATAATCAGGACACAGAGGCGCGCAGGTGAACCGGAGCACGTCTCATAATATGAACCGAAACACCGCGATGCTTGCCTCACACAGGCCTGAGAACTAAGCTACAGAAAGCTTTAAATATCTACTTTTAAACAAAACAATTAAAAACTAAAATAAATTGGCAACTCTCTGCGTATGTCGGCTAATTCGAAGTATGCGTTTCTCTATGCGCGTTCACTGCGAAGATGGCGAGTAAGCATCATCAACTTTATCTTTGTTGCTGACACTGACAGAAAACACTAGTTTATTAATAAACAATTCAAATGTTTCATGCATAATCATTACTTTTGCCGGTTCTTTGTGGCAAGCTTTATGCATACGTTGAGATGCGGAATATGCAATTAAAAACGCTCATATGGTTTCTCTCCCATTTAATTAAATCAATATATGTGATTACTGATAATACAAATGGCTTAAATGATCTACTACTAGTTGACTAGAAAACAAGGACTCATTTTGAGGAATGAATGAACATAATAAACCTCTGTTCAGAGTGCCGCCGTGCTGGATTGTGTAGAGCGCTCATTGAATTTGAGGATTTATCGTGTTTAGGCTAAAAACAGGGCTGGCGCTTATCGTGGTTTGGAAAGAAACTGTATCTTGCAGTACATTTTAAACAAGGAAATATAGCGATTCGGCATGAAACGTTGATAGAGCAGTGAAAGGGTTCTGTCCACAGCAGAATGACACGACAAACTCATTTTTTTTTAAAATGTCGTTTAACGCGTTTTGGAAAAGAGCTCTTCATATATTTAAGTGTTTATCACGGTTACAAGTATGGAAACTGTACATTTGTATTATAAACACTTTAGAAAAAAATTAGATAAAATGACCTAAAATAAACAATAGTATACACTAACACATTTTTAAAGTTGTTTGTAAAGTTCTAATCCGTTAACATTTATTTAATGCACAATGAATGAAGTGAACAAACATGAACAATCAAGTGTTTCTATTAAATAACATTTACAAACATTAATTAATGTTGTAAAAATATATTGTTCACTCAATGTGTTGATGTGAAGTAATGTTGATAAATGGTATCTTATTGTAGCATTACCAAACTTTAGGCTACAGGAGAAAAAAACATGTTTTATTTGATTTGACTGTACTTTTATTTAATCTAAAACTGCATTCATATTTAATTTTGAAAAGGCTTTTTAAAACTGCTGAGTTATAAAGGCAAGAATACGCCTAGAACTGGCACTGACATTAAATGACATAAGGGATGCATCGATACTAATACCAGTACTCTGGTGTCGGTTGGATACTACTGTGCTCATGTACTCGTAAAACTACCACGAAAGCACTTTAGAGGCCGTTCACATATCGCGCGTGTTTTTTTTTTATTATATTTTTGCGCGTACTTATTCTTTCCAAAGCGCTTGCTCTCACGCGGCGTCTGTCGTTGCTATGCAACGAGTTTTTATTATGAGCGCGCTTGCCTCGCGCCTATATTTGAAATTGCGAATTTGCATGTAATCGGCCTCTTATGGCAACGTGACATTAGCCTAATCCAAAATATTTCCATATGTGGCTCTTTCCTCCTTTCGTGTCAACAAGTGGATTCAGAGAGAGAGCATCAGCGTTATGAAGAGGACGCAACTGTGCACCTTTCAGACAGCGCGTCTAGAACTGGATTAACCTGGTATTCGGTACCTAGAAAAGCTGGTACTGTAACATTTTTTTTTTTTTAGTACCGACTTGGTACCGAAGTCCTGAGTTTTTTGACAACACTAATTGTACCCTAGTTTTGAGCCTAGCTGAAAAACACTTGGTTTTTATGGGCGTCTCACACTGAAGCCTTGGAAGTAAACACCCTCTGCTGTGAGTGGATAAAAGTTTTGCATATTATAATGAGTTTCAACTCACCCGTCGATGCACTTGGGGGAAATTGTTTTGAAAACGTCCAATGTTGTAAAATGCACCGTTCTTTACTCTTAATTGGTCTGCAAATCCAGTCTTGTTTACAAAACAATCCTCAGTGAAATGAAGCGAACAGACAGACAATGTTTTACCTCATCAGCTGGAACGTTTAACCATGCAGTCCTATTGGAATCCAGAGGAAGCTTATGCAGTGACTGTCTTCTTTCACAACCAGCCACTGCACAATATTCTGTATTGCTCGGTAGCTCGATCCGGTTTGTCATCACGAGGTAGGCCTATGTTATTTAGCTATGCGTGTAATGTGCGAATCGGTGGGCGGGGCTAAACCGGCCGTGTTGAAGTAGGCGTTGATCTTCTTCTGCGGGGGTTGTGTTTTATCCTCTTTGACGTCATAGTTCCCCACTTTGAAAAACGAGTCGTTTGCTGAGCCTGGTGTCAATAAAAGCTTTTATTGGACTAAGAAGGACGTTTTCAGTTCTGAAACTTTCAGGATATTCTTATAATATGATGACCTCTTAGATGTCAAAAGCTCAAGGAAAATTTGATTTTTTCAGTTCATCACCCCTTTAATACTAAAAGCAAACTGTTACCCAATTTAAATGGAGACTTAAGGAGTATATGCTGCGGATTTTATAATCACTCTCCTCCTTTCTCTCTTTCTCTCTTTCCCCTTCATCCCTGTTCCTCCATCTCTCTTCTGCATTTCATGCTCTCAGAGGCGGCAACGAAAACCAAAGTGAAAGGTGAGTTATCTTCTCTGTCTTTGTGGCTGGATGATTTATGTTGAACACAACTCCCAATAAACAATGTGCCGTTCGGCCCCCTCTTATCTCCCAAAGGAGCCTGGGATGCATTTACATAGTCTCTGCCTGTGAGAAAGCAAACCTGGAACATTTGATGAATTGGCCCTAGGAATATCCATTATGAATCCGTTTTACATGCTTCCTGGGTTTACAACAAACTTGTGCTACACGTTTAAGAGGAAGATGCCAGATTTTGTACAGGTCACCATTGCTGATACATAGAACCGCTACTCTAACAAAAAGTGGAAACACTTTGTCTTGGATATGTGGTACAGTGATGAATTCTCTAAACAGACAGCCACTTTTGAATGTGGTATTTTAGCTCAAAAAACCTGATTCTTATTCACAAACCCACAATCCAGTTTAACCAGTTGCTAAATTAAGTTATTGTAATTTTCTTCCGTGCAAACACACCGCCTTTCATAAAATCCCTGTGAATTATGCTTATTATAGAAGACACCGTATTCACAAATCTATTTGCTATTTGCCTGATGCAATTAACGTTGCATTATAACCACCACCCACTGGAAGTAGGTGGCAAATGGAATTTAATATAAAAGATAGTTTGTGTATATTTTCTAATGATCATGACAGCAGTTATTCATCCATTGATGGAGAAGAACATGTATCTAAATGTATGATGTAGTTTAATGCGCTTTTTAAAAATGTCTGATTCAGGTGTCTAGATCGCAGTGTTGCTATAATCGTAATAAAGTTAGTCAGATTGTTGTGATTTACCATATCGTCTACAACTGCATTTACATCCATGCAAATGGAGTTTAGCTAAAACAAGACGATTAAGTCTTTGTAGTGTTAAAGGATGACGGCATAGTGCCTAACAGCAAGAAGGTCCCCGGTTCGAGTCCCAGCTGAACCAGTAGTTCTGGGTTTCACTCGTGGGTGCTCTGGTTTTCCCTGCGGGTTCTCCGGTTTCCCCCACAATCCAAAAAAAAACAAAAAAACAAGCAGTATCGGTGAATTGGAGATGCTAAATTGTCAGTAGGTGTGAATGCGTGTGTGTGAGTCCCAAGCCATTTAATAGGGAGGGTTGGGAAAAAGACCTGGCAGCATATACCGGAAAAATCATTGCCAATAAAATTCATGGATAGTCTCTCGCGTATGGAAAAAGACAGTCATAGAATCGCCAAGAGTCGGATACGACTGAAATGGTAATAGATGGATAGAGATAGCCTTAAAAGAGCTTTGTAGCATTATAGTCTGTTTGGCTTTAACAAATCTAAATCATTAACATGAGTTAATGTCAAGACTAGACCAATACCAGACAATGGCAAGATTAAGTTATATTTGAGGCAAACCAAAGAGATGTGGTGTGCTTGGAGATGTGAGATATCTATCCCTTGTGTAGGGTCTTAAAACAATGCTAGATCCAGACCAGGGCCATGTTTATGTGGTATTGAGAGTTCTCCTGTGGACCAAGACCACAAAACCAACACTCCATGTTTTCACGAAAATGCATTTCTTTCTAAAAATTGTTCTAACAATTATCAGGACTGGTAGCTGAGACAGCTTATATTTAATGACAACAAACAGCAGATGCAAATACATTTTTATCAAGTTGGTAGTAATGTAGAAGCAGAATGGTACTATATAGTACAGATTTATAGTCTCTAAAACTCACAGACAATTGCGTGGACATCATTTGGTTTAGCTTTTAGTGTAAATCAAGGTTACCTAAATTACCTGTAGAGAAAGTTGTAATATGTACAATTTGCTACTAAGCCAAGCTTAAGTTCTGATAATATAGCAGTTGAAATGACTGGTCTAAATGAGGAGCTGAATATAGAGGCATTCAAGGATTTTTTTCTTGAAATGGAATGGCATAAAGCCCAGGCAGTTGTCATAGTCTACAAAGGACAGCTGGTGATCTAAGATGACAGCAAACAGCGGCTTGACCTTCAGGTGAGATTTGAGACTGTGAGAGGTTGGGTGAGGAAACTCATCAGGGAAGTCTTAGTTTGGAGGTATGAGCTCAGAGTTGTGGGTGGTCATATAGTTTGATATGTAAGAGTGGCATACAGAGATCCTTGCCATTTTGAGATTGTTGTCAGGATAGCAGTGGTAAAAGAAGCACCTGGATGACGGTTCTGGTGTAAAGGGAGATTCACACTGACAATGATTTGCAGTGACAAGGCAGCCAGAAGTCATTCATTTTCAATAAGATTTGACAATTTGAGGCGGCATGGGAAAATGAGACCAGTGGTAATGCGAATTCAACTATCTGCAATTACAGTCATACGATGACTATCAATGAATGTGTTGACCAAGGAATGTCTACTAGCAATGGTTCCTCTACAAATGTATTGTGATTTGTTAATATTAAATTACTGCTTTTGCAAGGTTTTTGAAAAACTGTTATACACCAACAAAGAAGGAGAATGTCTGAACATTTTAATAATTTATTAATCAACTAGTGATTTCTGAGTCTGTGTCAGCTGTAGTTGACTCGCCATCTTAATTTCATGGATATGGATGAGTCAAATTTTCAAATATGAAGAGTTCAGATGCAAAAGCCTCTAAATGCCATTTGAAATTTTCTTCTTTAATGATGATTTTTATCAAGCTTGTATATTTAAGTTCAGTAATTTCACTTAAATGACAATTAATGGGTAATTATCATTGCCATTTAAGAGAAATTACTGAACTTAAATATACAAGTTTGATAAAAAATCATCATTAAAGAAGAAAATTTCAAATGGCATTTAGAGGCTTTTGCATCTGAACTCTTCATATGTTGACCTAGGCAATTTGATTTTTTGTTTTATGTGGAAATATTATTCAATGCTCTGCCATCTATATTTGTTCTGTAGCTTTTAGTTAGTATAATGATATAAAATATATACTAGCGACAGGTTTGTTATGGTCTGACAACTACACAATATTAAAGCAATATTGTTAAAGCAATATAGTGGCAAACTTTACTAACATTTCAAATTACAAGCCATAGTTAGGTTAACAATTACCCGTCTGACAATTACCACATGGACCAGCCGTGTTTCGATCGGTCCGTCACGGACTGTGCCACTTCCGATGGATTTTTTTTTTTTTTTTCTGCGACTAACCGACTGATTCAAATTTGGTTGACTAAGCCTTTTCCCGTCGACTAATAGGGGGCAGCCCTAATAATTATACAGGTGGGTTATTGAAAGATTACAAAGATTTTTTTTTTCTGTCAAACAACATGCATTGATGAATCATGCACAATAAGACCACGAATGTGTTTTATAAAGGTATAAGATCGAGCTGTAATTTTTCATGCCAGAAATGTGGTTTTCTTGCATATTTCAAAAGATCGAGCTGTTTAACCCCAATAGTGCCTGCCTGTCTCTGTAATATCAAACCTGCTGTGAGATGTTTTAAGCTTCGCCATTACCATTCAGAGCTATTCTCTGGTCTACAGTAGATGTATTTTTAGTGTGTCACTCTGTCTCTTTAAGGGAAGAGAAAAGCACTTGAAGGCTTTTAAACCTAGAGAGGGGAAATCCATTCTTTTTTCTGCTCCCTGTTCCCTCGCCCCCCCATGGCGATGATTTAGTGGGAAGGATGGCACATGGCCCTGCCATTATAAGGGGCCTATATACCTACCTATATATATGTCTATATATATATATATATATAGTGTGTGTGTGTGTGTTCAGATGGGCTAAGTCACACTTCTTTTGTTGCTTAGCAGTAATTGCAGCAGGTTATATCCACCCAGCCAGTTTCAGGCTATTAGTGCATGAGCAAACTGAATTCTGAGCAGTTCCTGGATATTCCTTAGATGCTAGCTCCTGATACAGTCAACACTAACCTTCTCTCTGTCATGCTTAGCTGTAAATAGAAATAGTAAGCACTTAAAATGTTGAATTTAGTAAACATTTATCTGTTACTTTTCAAGGCACAATTTAAAAGCTTCTACATACAATATATGTTAATGAATGGCAACTGCTAATGTGTTAGCATTTAAAAACGTACTCACTTCAGTTTTAAAGGAACAGTTCAACTAAAAATTTAAATCCCGCCCTCATGTCCAATAATTTGTGAATTGTATATCCATACAATGACTAGACATTGTGATGTGAATGTTTACACTCAATGTGAACATGGACAATGCAACTAAAAGAGTTTCATTTGAGTGAAATTGAGTGATTTACATGCGAAGCTGTTGAATTTTAAAGCAGTTGTTTATGAGACCTCCATTTTACACAGCAATAATCACATAGCGTTTGTGGCTTGCTTTAGGAACTGCCGTTTTTCATTAACAAGGAAAATTGCAAATACATTTCTGAACAGTCCTATTTATCCTAAATTACGACTACACAGGAACACAACTTATATGTTGGAGCACAGAAAACTTGATTGGGCAATTCCATGCAAATGTCAACCTTGCCATGAAAAAATAAAATTATTGTCAAAATATCAAAACCCTTTCAAAGTTGGCCTTTTAGGTCTGTAATATTCTGTATTAATGTGCTGTATCAGAAACTTTAAGAAAATAGCCTTGTTATTCCACCACATATGAGGTGAGCAACAATGCTAAAATTAAACCAACCATATTTCATGCTTTCAAAAGAGGGCATAAAACAGAAAGCTCATGATTGCGAGCAACAGCAAGAATACTTTTTGAAAAAAAAGTTTTTATTTACTTTATGGGCTGGCAAGTTTCAATATAGAAGCCTATGAAGGAGTAGTCCAGCTCTCAGATTTAATCAAAAATATCTTAATTTGTGTTCTGAATATGAACGAAAGTCTTACAAGGTTGGAACAACATGAGTGTGAGTAAATACTGACATAATTTTCATTTTTGGCTGAACTAACCCGATATATAAACAGACCTTCAATATAATGGTATTAAATGCCGTTTCTGAGAATTTATATTTCAAGTTTTGAGTGCAAATGTCACCTCTATTACGCTGGAATTGCCCGATTGCTTTACAATT